CTTTTCATGGACGACAATGCACCATGTCATCGCACAGTAGCAGCTGAACAGCTCTTAGAGAGTGAGGATATTGAACGTATGGATTGGCCGGCACGATCTCCGGATGTCAATCCCATCGACCATGTATGGGATTTTTTAGGCAGACGCTTGGCAGCTGGTACCTTACCACCAGTAATGATTCCGGAGCTTCGATTGGCGCTGCAAGACGAATGGGCAGCAATGCCTCAACAACTCATTGACACCCTCATTCTCAGCATGGGCAGACGCTGTGAAACCTGCCTAGCAGTCAGGGGCGATCATATCCCCTATTAAAGACTGGATGTTTCTTTCTGGACACTCATCACAGGGATGTTTCGGCCTTCAGTCGCATTGCGCTCCATGCTACTTTTTCAATAAAGCTTCTTTTTATCCCTCTGATTTATCTTTTAGTAAGTGTTGCTTACTTTACTCATGTCCTTACGTATTGGGGATCTTATGGTATTAAATGTGTTGATTTGGAAAGCTTTTGTACAAAGTTATATTGAAAAAACCGTCTCGTCCTTAATTTTTGCACACCAGTGTATAGAGAGTACTACAGTACAATGCAGAAATATTCCATACTGCTTTTGCACAGAAATATGTGCCAGCCAAGTATTGGTCTTTCCAAAAAGTATCTCAAGACCATTTTGTTCTTTTTCTTTTTTTAGCCTGCTTCAGTTGCCTCTTTGTTTATAAGAAGGGCAGATAAGAGCATTCTGTTGAACCAGTAAAACTTTGTGGTGAGCTGAAAAAGCCATAACACAAAATAACGAAAACAAGCAGAGCGAGTGCAGGAAATCAATTGACTTGGAAAACAGCACGCGAAAGGTCTAGACGCATCCATGCATGTGCAAATTTAGCTTCTGTCATTGGCCACAGCTTAGACCCCCCCGGTCTTCCACGTATGAACGGAACTCCCATATTTTATGCCCTTATGATTATGCCTCTATGCTCTTTATGCCACCGTATGAACGCAGCTTTATGGGTTAAGGGATGGAAGACGATGTGCAGCTGAATCAGTCCTGAAGGCGAAACTTTGTATCCCCTTTTCTTCCTAATACAAATGATGGCTGTGATAAAGAGCATTGCATGTGAACGGGGCTTATAAGTAATTACTATGTTAGGGCAGAAAGAAGAAATGACCAAATTAAGATATAGAGTTAAGGGACTTTGCAAATCAAAGCTAGAATTTTGATTTACAGATTTTTTTCCTTACATATATATTACATATATAGTAGTATATGATATAACGTAATTTATAGCCACGGTTTTAAGGTGTGATAGAACATGGTGAAAGTAACTATTTTTGTAATGCGATCTTACAGTGGTAAGCGTAATGTGGTCATGCAGACAAAAAACATGGAAAATGAAAATTCATTTTAATATCAAATATTTTCAATAAATAATGTTTCATATTTACAGAAATTATTCAAATAAATGATTAGTAACTGTAACACATCATAATGATGATAGATCTCATTTATAAGGCACAGATAAATTCTTCTGAAGATCTTGTGATCAGAATTAATGTTGCTGCTGCAGAAGTGTGACATGTCCAGCATCTTTTAAAGTACATGTTTCTGTGTCACTGTTGTTATGAATTATTCCAATCAGTTATTGTTTAATTGAATAATTTTTGTAACTATCAAACATATAAATTTTTGTAACTTTTTTTTTTAAAATTATTGTTGGGAGTAGTTTTTGTACTTGCTGTGTTTCTGCAGTTACACTTCACACACCATCATAAATTATATATTGAAAATTATTGCTAATAGCATATTTTTAACGTACCTTAAAGTTGTGACCATCAACTCTGTTATACATACATACATGCAAAGTATAGAATAAAGAGTATCAATAGTGTATGTAATGAAGAATTGACTGTTTTGCATCAAATTGTATACTGACAGTATGATGTGTTGACTTTCCGATTCCACTTTTGATAAAAAAAAATCTTGGTTATTTTGTTCCTTTTTATTAAATGTCATTTTTCAGATATTGCTAGAGAAAGAAGAATGTTCAATCTATTAATTTCTTCTATGTGTGATTGTTATCTATAAACTCTTAATAAATTTCTTAACTGCAATACAAAGTCCGAAATCTGGACTCGTCGGGACTTCGGCGATTCCGGATTTGGAATTTTTCCGGATATTAGATCATCAGTTTAAATCTAGTAAGATGGCATGTTGAAATTATAAAAGATCTAAAGGGTATCAAAATTTACAAAATAAAAGCTTACTATTTATTTGTTTACCTTATTAAACATTTTAATGTAAGTTGTTAAAGTTGCTTTGTTTTTTGTGCTAATACTTTCTCTTTAATTCTGTAGACAAACATAATCTCTTGTTTAGTTACATTGTTGAAGTTCTGTAACTGTTTCAAGAATTCTGACTAACTTATCAATCGAAATTTTCTCGTTTTCAATAACTTCTCTGTCACTTTCTTTACTATCGGTAGCAGTGTTTTCTGGATCTAAATCATACTACAAATTTTGCCATTCATTAATTGATTGATGATTGAGGAGCATCTTAATCACAAAGAAAAACTTCTTTTATATCATCTTCTTTATTACCACTTCTCCACATTTCTTTACAAAATCCGTTAATTGGAAAATTTCACCTTTGTTTTGCGATATCTGAAAAACCTTTAAAATCAGTGGTTATCATCATCAAATTAAGCTATCCTTCTCTATACACATTTGGCTATGCATCATGAGCTTAGCGTCTAATAACAAATTGTTCCGTTAAATTTTACCTTGTTTTTATCAGACATTTAAGCCTGAATTGTATTAGTTTGTTATTATATTTATGTCTATTTCTTGCACATGCTTAAGGCTTATCAGAGTTCTGAATAAATAAATTCCCATATATACTTAAGCCTTATTGAGGGCCGGGGGTAACCGCCTGATGCACTCAGAAGCTTAGCTAGGGTTTTCAGCGTCCGAGGGAAACTGAATATTTTGCGCCCCTTTCTGTGTGCGAAGAATGGAAAACATTTAATTCTAAAATTTCATAACACCAATTTGGCACCCCCTGGATATTGCTCCCGGGGACTGTTATCTCTCCTTGCCCCACCCTAGCTATGCCACTGAATGCAGTCTCTGTGGGTCCTAAATTCTGCGACTCATGCAGCCATACGAGCCCTGGTGCTGGTTCTGGGTTTATGTGAATAACAAATAGCCCTAAATATAATCTTTGGGTCTATGAGTATCATCAACAAAATCTATTTTTAGCATATTAAAAGAAATTTTTGTTAAATTTTTCTTTGTCAACATTTTTCAGTACATTTAACTTAAATCTGTAATCATTGCCAAGGGTAATGTCAACGTAAAATGTTACCATACTCATTATTATTCAATTACTAACATAAAAAAATTGCTTAGGCATCACTACATGAGTCATTACTCAAGTTGTCATGTTTTGATAAACATGCAGTGATGAAAAGAAAGTATAATAAATAATGATTCACCAGGTTGGCATCAGATCAGCGATTATTTGTGTGGAATGTTTCAGTTTGAGATGTGTGCCAAAGCAGATACGCAGCAACGGATCCAAATTACTGAGCATACAAATTTATGCTAAAATGATTGTTTCTTCAATAAGAAAGCATTTTATTTAGTGAAATTTCAAAACGAAATTAAGAATCGGGACTCTCCAGGTGTTTTATTATGCGTGGAGGCGGTAATCAAATGTGCATGTGTAAAGCTTATGAGGAAAAACGTTGATGGTGGTTTTGAGGTCCGTATTTTAGATCATTCCGGATAATGGACATCCGGATTTCGGACTTTCAACTGTACAGTCAAAAGACGTTAATCCAGACCTTAAAGCTACAAACTTGCTGCGCATGCGTCAACACATAATGCGTTCACGCATGCGCATAGGTGTTTATGCGTGTGCATAATACTTTTATGCATGCGCATAATACGTTTATGCTTGTACGTTTAATGTATAACGGACGGTATAAGCTAAGCTAAAATTATCTAATTGTCTATTTCAGTTAATGTTGCAGATTGCGTTGTTCTTTAATCTTCGAATTGGATCTGGCTTATTATTTTTTGCAGACTGTTAGAGAAATTTTATAAAAGTAAGCTTGAACTTTCGATTATGTCAAATAGAATTTCCGATGTATATTTACTTATATGTAAAGGATCTACAAAGCGAAAGTATGTTTCGATGTCCATCAGACAAAAAGTGGAATTGCTGCAAAAAATGGATAAAGGCATATCCTTTGTTTCTCTAACCATTCCAAAATCTGTTTATCAATTTCACGTTGCTCTGCGTGGGGGGGGGGGACACGTCGCGGTGCACAATGAATTGGAAGTTGATCTGTCTGCACTATCCTTATATTCAGGGCAGATGTTTTTATTTTATTCGGCTTATAATTCCTTACTAAATGTAGTATTTCATCTCGATGTATTCCGTCTTTGATATGATTTAAATCAAATTCCTCGTCATTATAAATATCATGAGTACACATCAAATAGTTTTCTGGTTACAATTTTCTAATTTCGACTATGCATAATGTATGCTTTACGCATGCGCGTTGAAAGAAATATTTAATAAAGTAAACAAATAAATATTAAGCTTTTTTTGTGTAAATTTTGATACCCTTTAGATCATAATTGCTCTTTATTTCATAAATTACTGTTTCATATTTTTTAATTTTATAATTTCTGCATGCCATCTTACCAGATTTAAATTGATGATCTATAATCCGGAATCGCTGAAGTCCTGACGAGTCCGTATTAAAGACTTTTGACTGTATATATAAATTTATAGCACTTTTTCTTAATGATTTTATCTAGCTTAGATCAAGAAATATGTATTGAATTATAATGTAAATTCTTATGTTAGGAGTCTGAATTTGAATATGTATTTTTTTTTTCTCTTGATCTTTTGAATCTTGTTATGTATTTCTCTAAAATTGCCAATGGTCCATTAAATGCTTGTTTTAAATGTATGTATTTATTTCTGTATTTGTAGAGCTGATACAAATCAAGATGGATTTTTAAATGTAGAAGAATTAGAAATTTGGATAATGAACAAAGTGAAAGAACATTTTCATAGAGCAGTCCGTGATAATTTCTTGATCTTCACATCACTTGACAAAGATCATAATGGTTGGTTCATTCTCCATTTTTAAAATATGGTTACTTGTATGTTTTCTGCCAGGGATTTCAGTTAACAGCAAGATATCTGTTAATATAATAATGATAATCTAAGTACTTGTCATATCACTTGCCACGAAAATCAGGCCTTTTATAAAAGCAAATAGAGCATATGTTCTAAGCCTCCACTTGTTGGTTTATATCTTTAATAATTTAATCTCTTTTTTTCCTCCATCTCATTGCTAATAAAATTGCAAATATGCTAAGTAAAAACTACATTTCTGTGGTTTTTAGTGTTTTTAAGTGTGTGGTGTTATATTATCAGATAAGATTTCTAATTACAGACTTTTCTTTCTGAGGAGTAACAATTTTTAGAGTAACTTCTAATTGTTATTTATATAAAAATTGTTCCTCGTTATTATAATTTGCTTCCGATAGTGAAGAAAGTGACCCAGAGGTTATTGAAAACGAAAAAATTTCGATTGACAAATTAGTCGGTATTCTCAACACAGCAATTATAGGACTTGAACAGTGGAACTTTGTAACTAAACAAGAAATTATGTCTGTGTAATAGAATTAAAGAGAAAGTATTATCACATGAAAACGAAGCAACTTAAACAACTTACATTGAAAGAAATGTTTAATAAAGTAAACAAATAAATATTAAGCTTTTTCTTTTTGTAAATTTTGATACTCTTTAGATCATAATTGTTCTTTATTTCATAAATTACAGTTTCATATTTTTAATTTTGTAATTTCTGCATGCCATCTTACCAAATTTTAACTGATGATCTATAATCCGGAATCGCCGAAGTCCCGATGAGTCCGATGACTTGTCATCAATAGCAAAAGAAAATGTTTAATCCTTAAATCATTTCATTTGAAATTACTTTTGTGTTGTGTTTAGAGACTGCATAATGTATTCATTTAATGAGAAAATTGAAAATTTTAAACTGCTCAGCCACAAGCAGAAATATGCATTGGCAGGTCACACATAATTCATTGCTTATGTTTTCAATAGTTTGATTCTATATTCATTGTTGGTACAGGATAATTTTTACTGTTCTGTCATCCTTCAAATAGTGTACATTCTGTAGAATGCAGATACGATATTTTTGGTTCTTTTTCATTTAAGCCATTAACACTTATGGCTCTCTCCCCTTTTTTTTTGTGGTCATATTTTCTCAGTACCAGGTGTGTCAGCAGTTTGGTTACTATCCTGGTGATAGTTGTCTTCGCAGTTATCACTTGTGTAACCATATTTATCTAATCATAATTTTTCGTAAGTGCAATGTACAGTACAAAGTCCATAATCCGGACTCGTCAGGACTTCAGCGATTCCGGATTAAGGGTTTTTCCGGATTATAGATCATCAGTTTAAATCTGGTAAGGTGGCATGCAGAAATTATACAATTAAAAATATGAAACAGTAATTTATGAAAAAAAGAGCAATTATGATCTAAAGGATATCAAAATTTACAAAAAAAAGCTTAATATTTATTTGTTTATTTTATTAAACATTTCTTTCAATGTAAGCTGTTTAAGTTGCTTCGTTTTTTGTGCTAAAGGCGCATGCATAAAGCATACAAAAAAAAAAAAAAAAAAAAAAAAAAGGTTTGTGGCTTTGAGGTCCGGATTATAGATCATTCCGGATAATGGACTTCCGGATTACAGACTTTGTACTGTATTTATTATTTGAGATTTGGAACACTTAATTTAGATTTAGCGACTACATGTATCCTAAAGGAAATAAATTGTGTGTATATCTGAATGAAGTAATTAATAGTGCATGAAACTGTGGTTGGACAAAATATAATTATTTTTCAAACATGAATCTTATACATTCAAATGAAGAAGAACAAATTTTGATCTATAAAACAGATACAAATAGGTTGTTATGTTTAACAAATATATTACATGACATTAAAGAACATTTATGATATGTTTTTGGCTGCTATTATCTAAAAAACAATAGCAGCGAAAAACAACACCTTTTTGTAATATGCTGGCACTCAATGTGTAGGTGTGTAGAATTAATATTGCAGTGCATGCATTTCAAAGCATAAATTTCTCTACCATCATGCTATTTTTAATTTTATGGTTGTTATTTAGTCTTCTATAATTTTTTCAATGCAGTGGTTATTAATTATTAATTTTTTCTTTTAATTTTGCACATATTATTTAATCAGTTAAACAGTAATAAATATAATTAGCTTTTTTCGTTTTTTCTCATATTTTTTCTTTTTTAAAAAGGGCTTCAAGAATAAAATCAACTGGGGGGAGAAAAATATTACTGATAAAAATTTAGTAAAAGGGAGAACTTTGAAAAAAAGATGTTTCGGAGAAAAAATTGTTTAAAATCAAGAAAAGGGCATGGTGAAAGAAAGAAGCCAATATGGCACCAAAAATGTGTAATATGGCTTTGACAGAAAAGTACCATATACAGTCAAAAGTCGTTAATCCGGTGTAATATCTTGTTATTTAATAAATAAATATGATAATTGTTGAAGTGGCAACGCCATATTTGTATTAAACCGTTACTCAGTGACGTGAGATATTGTTTTAAAAAGATTAGCATTCTGAAGATTTTACAGCTAGGGGTAGGATGAAAATTTTGCCACTTAAGAATTGTATAAAATTTGTCTATCACCGTGAACTAGAAATAAAATTTATGTTCTACTAAGAAGATTGTCTGTTTTGTAAATTACTGCAGAATACATCACAGTCTTTAATTAATTGGAGGCTCTACCGAGATACTGGAAATTAGGAGTGCAATTATCAATTTCGATGATACTGGTCTCCTAATCCCAGAAATTTACTGAATTTTTTAGAACAAGTTTGCTAATACCGATTGCCAAGTTTGTTTGTTTATTTCAAGGAGAAATGGATGTAAGAAGTCTGCCGTTTTAAAGCCAGATTTGAAGCGGATCGTTCAAAGGTTATCTTCTGTGCTTCTGTAACTTGCGTCCGAGCAAAAACTGTCAAAAATAGGATATTGCTGATCTCTGAAGATAAGATTAACTTTTGGTTTTCTTAAAAAAGATTTTATTGAATTTTAATACTTTGTTTCAGAATTATAGTTTATCGTGTAAGATTTTGTTTAAAATAACTGACACTAAAAATATTCAGCTTAAATTTATAATTGATATTTGTGGTAAAGAAGTATTTTAAAATTATTATTTATGCTTTACTTTTATTTGTATTGAATTTTTATGTAGATAATTGATATGTGGAAGCCATCCCGGCGTTTATTAAAAAAAAAAAAAAAAAAAAAAAAAAAAAAGAACTGCTAGCTGAATTTTGAATTTGTTGCCAAGCAGGCACGTGGAAAATAAGTAGCAATGTCAAACTGATGTAGTGTGATTTGATTATACTGCAGAATTGGCAAAAGTTTTTTTCTTAGTTCTCGCCATCCAGGCATGTAGATAGCTAAAGTCATCCTGACATATTACAGATTGTATATTCTAATAGTTGTATTGCCAAACTGGCAAAAATTGTTTTTGTTATCACCAACCAGGTGTGGAGATAGATAGTAAAGTCGTCACCCATTGTATTGCCTAACAGGCAAAGGTGTTTATATAGTTATAGCTAATGAGGCTTGTGAATAGTGAGTTAAAATGTCAACCCGACGTAGTATTATAGTATTTTGTGCCAACCTGGCAAAGTTGTTTAAATAATTCTCTCCAATTGGTTAGTGTTAATTTCGTATTTGAGAAATTAAGTCTCGCCAGAAATTATACATTTTTAGTACAAGTACGATCTTTTAGATTCAATTTCAAAAGGAAGCCTAATAAAGGTAACTTGTGTCAACAGGTCATTCTTAGCTAGGAGTAAAAAACAGGATTTAAAAATACTAGCAGAAGAGTTAGGTTTAACCGTAAAACCTGAATTTAAGATTGCTCAATTGCTTAAAACTGATTACTGAAAGTCCCGATTATGATGAGGAATTTACTCGAGAACTACTGGCTGCAATTAGAGAAGAAAGAGAAAGAAGAGAAGAATGCGAAAGTGAAGAAAGAGAAAAAGAACACGAAAGAGAAGAAAGAGAAAAGGAATGCGAAAGAGAAGAAAGAGAAAAAGAACGCAAAAGAGAAGAAAGAAAAGAAGAGCTTGAAAAAGAAGAGCGAATTTAAGCCTTTGAGCTACAGAAACTTCAGCTGGAAGCAATGGCTTCCACAGCACAGCCGGTAGAAACTACGCAGTTACCTGAACAGCCTTTAAAAATCAGAATTCACGATGTCATGCCACGTTTCAACCCTAAAGAAGATGAAATAAGTTTATTTCTAGTGTTATTTGAGTGTCAAGCTAAAATAATGAATATACTTGCTGAAAATCAAGTGACTCAACTTATTTCATTGCTGCCTCCTGACATTGTTCAGCTTATTGCTAGAGAACCAGAAGAGGACGCGAAAAAGTATGAATATGTAAAAACTTTACTGTTACAACGATTTAAATTGAGTGTGGAAAAATTTCGACAACTATTTAATAAACACCAAAAATCTACTGAAAGTACTTGGTATGATTCTACTATGAATTAAAGAATTATTTAGAAGGATGGCTTAATGGATTAAACATTAAAACTTTTGAACAGCTAAAAGATCTCATGCTGGTTGGTCAAATAAAAAAGCGTACTTCTCCTGATTTCAAAGAACATTTTATGGATCAATGGACAACCATAATTTCACCTACTAAGATGGTTAAGAAAATTGAAAATTTTGAAGATGTCAGAAAAACAATAAAACCGAAATTTTCTGCCAGTCAAACTGAGAAATTTAACAAAGGATCATTTAAACCTCGTTCCGATAATTTTGCAAAAACAATAGAGCATCCACCTCATTTTAAGCATTCTGATAAATGGGATGATTCAAAATACCAGAAATATCAACGACAAAAAAATCAATTTCAAAACAAGAACCAAGAAAATTTATATGACAAAAAATATTGACCACGTTGTTTCAAGTGTGGGTCATACGAACATTTTAAGCCACAGTGCCCTCGCTTAAAATCAAATG